TAAAGAGGAGGGCACAGAGAAAATCCCCGTAAGTTGCTCCCGATTAACTTACGAAACATCGCAGATGACGTTCCTTTGCGGTGCAAAACTCCCAAAATTGCACAATTTCGGGCGCCTAAGTGAGTGAGGATTGATGAACTGCTGATTGCGCGACGAAATAGGAAAAAAGTTTTTTTTGCATTTTCTTGCAGTTGTTGCTTGTTTTTCTCAAAGAACCGCTCCGATACCTGGGCGCTGCGCGGTCCTCCCCAAAGGACCATGCGGCCCTCGAAAGTTTTGCATATTCTCGCGGAAATTACGCGAGAATGCGGCCACTGCGCCGCAGCTAATCTATAAGGAAACCGCGGTTGTTCTCCAAGCATTCGTCTAAAATTTCGCCAAAATTCTTCCAAATATCTGCAAGCGGACCGCAAAAAATCAGCGAACTATTTTTCCGGTGCCCAACCGCCCATAAATCACATGGCCGCCGGCCCCCGGCAATTATCTGAGCACCTGCTCGAGGAGATAGGCTGCCGCTGGTCGGAGTAAGTCCGCCGCCCGCAGGCTCAGTAGCAAAGGCACGCCGCTCGTCCGAAACAAGATATCACACCCACAAAACAAGGGTCGCCGCCCGCGGGCAACTGTGAAGGCCGGCCGCTCGTCCGAGTCATTGTCTGCGATGCTTCATAAATCATTCACTCTCGACTTACGAGAGAAGTATAGGGCTTCTAAATTGCAGAGTCGTTTGCACCAGCGGTCGCCCGGCAAAATGCCCGGGCGCGACGCGACCGCGCCGGCGCCATCGATCGAGGCGGCGCCATTGATGCCCGGGCGCGACGCGGTCGCGCGACCGCTGATGCAAACGACTCTGCAATTTAGGAGCCCTGTATCTACTTTCGAAGTCGAATCATCATAACTTATGATAAAGGGCTAAGGATGTTTACGTGTGTGTGTGTGTGTGTGTGTGTGTGTGTGTGTGTGTGTGTGTGTGTGTGTGTGTGTGTGTGTGTGTGTGTGTGTGTGTGTGTGTGTGTGTGTGTGTGTGTGTGTGTGTGTGTGTGTGTGTGTGTGTGTGTGTGTGTGTGTGTGTGTGTGTGTGTGTGTGTGTGTGTGTGTGTGTGTGTGTGTGTGTGTGTGTGTGTGTGTGTGTGTGTGTGTGTGTGTGTGTGTGTGTGTGTGTGTGTGTGTGTGTGTGTGTGTGTGTGTGTGTGTGTGTGTGTGTGTGTGTGTGTGTGTGTGTGTGTGTGTGTGTGTGTGTGTGTGTGTGTGTGTGTGTGTGTGTGTGTGTGTGTGTGTGTGTGTGTGTGTGTGTGTGTGTGTGTGTGTGTGTGTGTGTGTGTGTGTGTGTGTGTGTGTGTGTGTGTGTGTGTGTGTGTGTGTGTGTGTGTGTGTGTGTGTGTGTGTGTGTGTGTGTGTGTGTGTGTGTGTGTGTGTGTGTGTGTGTGTGTGTGTGTGTGTGTGTGTGTGTGTGTGTGTGTGTGTGTGTGTGTGTGTGTGTGTGTGTGTGTGTGTGTGTGTGTGTGTGTGTGTGTGTGTGTGTGTGTGTGTGTGTGTGTGTGTGTGTGTGTGTGTGTGTGTGTGTGTGTGTGTGTGTGTGTGTGTGTGTGTGTGTGTGTGTGTGTGTGTGTGTGTGTGTGTAAGTCTGTCTGTCTGTCACGAAATTCGTAGAACGTGTTCCAGTCAACCTCCTGAGCCCAAATTTTGCACAGCGAATGATACCAACATGAGAGTTTACTATACAAAAGTACGAGCGGATCCATTGAGTGGATCGCTCAAAAAATGTGCATCAATGGGATCCAATTCGCTTTTGGCCGGTGATGAGCCTGTAGCACAACGCTTTGCAAAGTCGCGGCTATGTTTGACAAGTCAATGTGCAACCCATAGGCTTTAGCCTAAAAAATTGGACTAAAGTTTATTACTTTGCGAAAACGCGCCAAAAAGAGTTGGTTGCGTAAATGCTCATTTTGCCAAGATTTGACCCGATCATCTGAGAAGATTTTTGCACGGAGATGTAGCCCACGGTGATTATTGCATCTTATGGCGAATACCAAGCCATAAAAATTCCAAAAGCCAATTCAAATTTGCGTTTGTTCTTTTGTGAAAAGTTTCGTTCACGCAAATTTACCAATCTCTTATAGAAAAGCTTTTGGAATGAACAGTTTTGCAAATCGTTCGTGATAGTCCGCATAGCGCGGTGAGCTTTAATGTCATTATTGTGTGCGGGAATGATTAAGACGTGCAGATAGCAGGACCAGTGCGAGCCTCTGCGAAGCAGAGGGCACTGGTTTTATATGATCATGTTGCATTGCACACACCGTCCATCTTTTGGCGCCCTCACCCTGGATTTGCAATCGTAAAAACGCAAGAGACTAACCGATTGTTATCGCTTACATTATCTTGAGGTTATGCACTCAAAAAGGAAAGAAAGCATAAAGAAAACACTGAAAACCTCTAACAATTCAGGACGGACGCCAAGCGTGGACATGGGTGCATTGACACACACGATCATACGTAATAATTCGACTGTAGCTGTGCCAGAATAATCTTTATGTCGAATATGCCAAATTGGTAAAAGTCTGTAGACTCTTTTAAGTATCTTTCTTATTTACAACTCAAATGCAAGCTTCGCTCTCCCCTGATTCGATTTATGCCTCTCCCCTCTAATGCCAGCACTCAAAGCAAGCCACTGCACCTTCAAAGTGCATAGCGGTTTCCTCAAACCTAAGGGATGTACAAAAAGGGGATTTTCAGGCTTTCATAACTCTAGAAGAGCGTTTCGCAAAAAAGGAATGCAAAATTGAATTTAACGTTTGAAACTTTTTCTTCCAATGCGCATTTCGTATCAGACAGTCACGGCCATTGAAAGTATTTTCGTCAGTCAGAGAATGAATGATTTTCAAACCATGCTATGCAGTATACTTGGGTAATTCGAGAATTTTTCATCGAATGAATGAATATCGAATAAATTCGAAAAGGAAGAATTTCGAATAAACGAATATCGAATAAATTCGGAAAATCAAAAATATCGAATGAATGAATTTCGAATAAATTCGGAAAATCAAAAATATCGAATGAATGAATTTCGAATAAATTCGAAAAATCAAAAATATCGAATGAATGAATATCGAATATATTCGAACATTGGAAGTCGAATTTCGAATAAATATTCGAATGATTTATCGAATAACTAAAGCAATCACATCTCAAACTTGCCGACATATCTGGCTAGAGCCGATCCAATCATAATCAGCCCCCTAGTATCCCCTATACCAACTCCTAGCTCAAAATTTTCCAAAAATTGCTGAAATCGATAAAATAGATTTCGATTTTAATCAGCATTTTCGTTTACCCCCTGTACCAACTCCCAAGCAGTAGCTCGAGATTTTCCAAAAATCGATAAAATTTATAAAGTAAATTTTTATCCATAATCAGCACCCTCACTTACCCCCTTGTACCAACTCTCAGCCCCGCAGCTCAAACTTCCCCAAAAATCGATAAAGTCGGTCTGTCGGCATCTAGTCTATACATCAGCAAAAAGTCATATGTTACCCATTATGGACGATCTAAAAAGCAGTCGATATAAATTTTTATGCTGTGCCCAAAAGATTTTTCTAGATAGTCTGAAAGAGACTGATGTACACCAGAATTAACTTTATTTCTTATCAGCATCAGCAATGTAAAAGCAAAGAGCTTGCTTTACTTTCTACATCAATTAAAATCCACATATAAGCTCCTGCAAGACGAAGGCGGTTGGCTCGACGTGCAACGCGGCTGCGACACTGCTGCGTCACAGCCGCGTCACAGCCGCGTCACAGCCACGTCGCACATCGAACCGACCGCCTTCGTCCTGCAGGAGCTTATATGATTTTTTTACTGTCGCATGCAGTCGGAAGAATGCGACTCTCCATACAGTTCAAAGGTATAACGGTTGCAAAAGATGCATTACGAGTTTTGCAAAAAAAAAACGCGGACGAAGTGAGCTTGATACTGAGCAGTTGGCTTTGCAACAAAGTCGAATAATCTGCATACGGAGTCATTCGAATACGAATAAACATTCGAATAAAACATTCGAATAAAATCTATTCGAAACCCCGTTTTTTAATTATTCGAGTTTTCGAATAATATTCGAAACCTCGTTTTTTGATTATTCGAGTTTTCGAATTTTATTCGAAACCCTGTTTTTTAATTATTCGAGTTTCGCATATCATTCGAAAATGGAAGAACTCCGAATATCGAATTTCGAATACGAGTATATTCGAATGTTTTATTCGAATGATCGAATTTCTATTCGATTCGGACCCAAGTACACTATGCAGGCATATAAGCTACCACATTAAATAGGACACGCTGCAGCAACAAGTTACACGATCCCAAACAGTAAATCATCCAAACGCTTTAGGCCTCGCAGAGTTCATGCGATTTGATCGTCGCGATTCAATCGCCACAAGACAGCTGTTACGAGTTCATTGCATGCCGACCAGCTTGCATTTCGGTTGTGATACTTTTCCAACCCGAAATTTTTGAATGTAAAATGAAAATGAATGAAATTCGCGGCGATTGATTCGCGACGATCAAATCGCGTGAACTCCGTCCGAGACCTTAGAACGCACTCATGAGCTTGCTGCTCAGATGTACGTAAAGTGTGCTCGCGTCTTAGTCAGAGAATGAATGACAAGTGTCTTAGTTAGAGAATGAATGATACCTTCCTTGTTTTTTGTTCCAGAGACAAGTCTTTTATTCAGAAAATGAATGATACTTGCCTCGCTTTCCGTCCCAAAAACAGAATTCGGCTGTTTCTAAGACTTCCTTGTCGAGTCATGACAGAGACGCAGCAGAGTTAGATATTAGCAGCGATTGTGAAGTGAATGATAGTTCTGAGTGTCAACAGCTTCCGTTCTATTAGCGTTATCGTCTTGTGCAAAAATATGGATGAAGCACAGGCTGTCTTGTTAACGAGCAAATGTTGCCGGCGACGGAGCAACATTAACGGTTGGAACTAGACCATATTCATGCAGTTTCAGCTTGTAGTTGGTCTACCAAATGTTACTATCGACCAAGCTATGCTTCAAATGACGCTATGGTACGCTAAATATTGTCTAGCTTTTCTGATCTTACAATAGTTCAAGGTTCAGGTCCATGTGGTCTGCACCGCTAATTATGTCCAATGACCTTAGAAAGTTGAAACCAGAATTCAAAAAGATACTTCTCAATCGCGATGTAATCGCTATAGATCAAGATCCAATGGGTCTCATGGGAAAATTGGTCAAAAACGTAAATTGAGCGATAGTAGTTCTCTTAAGCAAATGCAAAAGCTAAGATTTTAGAGCAAGTCCGTCGGCATCTACTTAAAGCCAGTGACACCCGCACAAGGTTGGAGAACCTCGTATGCTCTTGCTGTGGTCAACAAAAACGAAATAGAAGTCAAGGTATGGAACAACTGCCTACAGTATTTTAATCTAAAAAGCTGAATGTCTGCTTGTTTCTGTGTTTTCTGTTTCTTGTGTTTGACTGTCCGCATGTGTCTCTGTACTTACGTTCCAAATAGAAAATTCCATTTCTGAACCGATCCGGACCAAACTTTGCCCTTATACAATATGAAACGGGGCAGTTGTAGGCTACTTTTCGTTATCGATAGATATCGATTCTATCGTTTTTTGCAAAGTTTGAGCTACGGGGCTGAGAGTTGGCCGTTGGGGTCATCAGAGTTGGTGACCTCGTGAATCCATTTTGCCATAATGTTTCACTAGGTATGCTGATAACTGTTTGCCATGCTCCTCAAGGATGTTGTTATGCCCTTCAAAAAAAAAACCTGGAAACCAAAGGTGCTGTCTAATGATATCAGCGTACTTATCGTTAGAAACATTGCTACACAACTTTCCGATTCTTGTAAATTCTTTCAAATCGCCTAGTTTGAAGAGGCTCCCGCTATTCCACTAGATACAATCCAAAAATTGAAAATCACGGATTTCGCTGGAAACTCGCCGCCCAGGGGGTTATTCGACCTGCATTACGAGAATGATATTTATCTCGAGTGGCGGGATTTTTAAGGGGTTACGGCAGGCATACGGTATGGGGGTCAGGATCTTATAATTCGCTAAAAGTTTGCGTAGGGGGGTTATTCGACATGCTGATCACAAACATCACTTTTTTCCGCACGAAAATCTCTCCCTGTACGGCTACGATAGGTGTACGGTGGGTGGTGTACGGTAGGGGTTCAAAACCTAGATTTGGTTGGAATTTGGTCTGAAGGGTTATTTAGCACGCTGAACATGGATATGATATTGACTTTGTACGGCAGCTCAATTTCTCAAGTTACGGTAGGTACATGGTACATGGGTAAAAATTTCAAAATTGCTTAAAACGTTGCCTAGAGGGGTTTTTTAGCATGCGGATAACGAATATCAGGCTTGCTCGCTATAACAACGCTTTAATATGGCGTTATGGCAATTTGATGCGCTTAGGGAAACATCTTCACGCTTTTCAGACCGAATAAGATTCCAAAAATCCACGAGAAGGCGTTACAAGCGAAATAAGCGCGTATTCGGGCATATGAGCACATCAGATAACACTCATGCACAAAGTTTCAGTCAGATCTACGGTTTTGACCCCTTACCCTTCCTACCGTAACCGTACGTACAACGAAAGGATTCCGTGCGGGAAAAGTGTGGTTCATGCGATCAGCATGTCGAATAACCGCTACGCAAGTTTTAGCGAATTCTGACATGAGATATGATCCCATACTAGTCCCGACCGTAACCCTACCATAAGGCGTTTTCGAGCAAATGAATATGATATTGGTGGTCAGCATGTCGTATAACCCCCTACGCAAAGTTTTAGCAAATATTGAGATTTTGACCTCATACCGTATGCCTTCCGTAACCTCTCAAAGAAAGCCTCACCATGCAACATACTCGAAGCAACCCCTTTGAGCGAACTTTCAGCGAAATCCGTGATTTTCAATTTTTGGGTTGCATTAAGCGGAATGGTACCGAGGCTTTTAGACACAGTAATGAGGAGCGATCGGATACTGTAAATGTAAATCGAGTCCAGTTGTATAAGATGGTATGCGGATATTGGGGAGAAAACTCTGTGAAAAAGGAAACACTACGATCAACCAACAGCACATATTTTCGAGATAGTGCGTATGCAGACATACAGACAAATAGACATTCACCTACATGTAAATGATAGCCTAAAATCGACCAATCTGAGTATGGAGGCTGTTATGAGATAGCCGTATGGTTCAAAATTTGAGAAGAAAATCAAGAAGTAATGAAAATCAATAAGTAATGAGACTGTTGAAGATAGATTTAGTTATCCTTTGCGCAAATACAATCTTAGCTTAAAAAAATCACTGATAATTGTGTCCATTCGTTCGCTGAGTAAAGACAAAGAAAATGCACTTTTTTAGACGGTTCAGTTCACACTGCGCTCGCTTGGAATTCCTAAAGAAGAGTCCTATATAGTTCGAGATCTCTGGACACGTGAAGACAACAGCAATGTGACAACATCGTACAGCTTTGAATTCACACTACGACCCACATCAGCGGTAATGCTCAAGCTGACTCTTGTTTGACGCAGTATGTGCGATGCAAATAAAGCAATTCATAATAACATTTTGGGGCAATAAACTTCTTGGCTTGTATATCCAGGTGCAATGAGAAGTAAAGCGCCGTGTTGACATCGAGAATTGGTCGCTATTTTGCAAGTGGTCTTTAAGAGTTGTAAATGTGCACAAAAAAATTCAAAGTTTGTCGGTTACAATTGTGCGGTTTTTATTAGGGTGAACGGTAAAAAATGGGGCACATACGAAATAACTGGAGGTTTTGATTGGATTTTTTATTTTTGATAAATGTTAGAATATGTTATTCTCTTTCAGATAACACCCATATAAGGTCATTTATATTATTAATATTTTTTATACTTGCTGAAATGCAAAGTTAGTAACTTCGAGAAATTGTGAAGTTTGAGCAGCATCTGCGCAGTGAAACATGTGAGACCACCTAAAGTACCACTGCTGGAGTGGGTGGTGGGACGTCACTGAACCACGACGGCTTGGTGGCTTCAACTTTCAAAGTCAGGAGATAGGACCGTTAGCAGCTTCGAGAACCAGATACGCGTTATTCAATTCTTTGCAGGTGAAAGCATGTTTTCTAGATACCATACTCTAGAGCTTTTTACGCTCTATTCATCCATATGCAGCTTACCTCAGATTTTATCTATCTTCGGAAAATATAAGGCAAAATATAATTTTTTGGTTTTTATTGCGCCAAAAATGGCTATTTTTCAGGTTTTTTTGCTTTCTTTTCTGAAAATGAAGAGAAATCTCATGCATTTAATAAATCGTTTGAAAGAGCATGAAGAGCCCTTTCGAATGGTATGTCATTTGCTTTGAGATTTTACGGTATAGCAGCGCTAGATTGTGAATTGTTCCAAAAACCCTGTCTGAGTTCTTCACGGCGCCACGCGCACGTTTATGAGAGAGCAGCGGTAACGTGTTGCCAGAATGATAGGCGAAGGTTGGTCATGGAAGTGACTTTCGAGTTGCAGCCTGCTTGTTTGTTGGTGAAAAAAACCTCAGAATGTATTCCATGTTTCGCTTTCTTTAAACCTGGGCATCGTATGTATTCTTCAAGTGTTCTGAGCCACACAGGTTTTCAGATGGTCTTTATTATCCAATCACGGCCTAACGTTTTCACGCCTTCGTCTTCCTCAGAGGCCTGAAAGTGGTTCAAAACGTCATCCGTGACTCCAAGCCACCAAACACCTCCCCCAGTCCGGCTAGTTCTCAACCTTCGCTCAGCTTTCCTCTTATAAAAATGTCAGGACAGAAGATGAGCGTACCGAAAGACCACCGCTATATATGGTATTCCGCACCGGAAATGATGGTCGTGGCGGAATAATAGACTATACCATAAATGACAATCCAATGTGATCTATAGACCGCATAACGATATGAACGGAAGAAAGTCAGAGGTTATCGACAAACGCTCATTCTTATTGTTCATTTCTGGCTTCTTTGCAGAAATCCAGAAAGCCTCTAATGCTTTCCTAGCCGAGGTCTCCTTTTCACAAGCTAAGATCTTACACTTGATATCAAAGTCTTCTCCATTTTGCGCCTCGCTTCTATGCCTGCCTAAAGCTGAAGATAATGTTTTACGCTTTTTATCTGCTAGATGTTCTTTAACACGAGTACTGAGTGCTCTTCCAGTCTCCCCAACATAAAGTGCGTTGCAATTCAGACATTCTATTTGATAAATTACTCCCACTTTTGCACAATCACCTAATTTACCATGCGGGCAAACTACACAATGTTTTGTTATACAGTATCGATCGTATAGTCTGTTTCGAAACAACTGCTTTTTGATATTGTCATTCGGAACGTCCACTAATACAATATCATCCTGCAAGTGTGCACGTAAAATGCATTTTCGAAGAGCCGCGCTGATACTATCATAACTTATAATAACGGGCTAAGAGTGTTTACGTGACTTTGTGTGTGTGTGTGTGTGTGTGTCTGTCTGTCTGTCTGTAACGAAATTCATACAGCGGGTTCCAGTCAACATCCCGAGCCCAAATTTTGCATAGCGCATGCTACCAAAGTAGAACTCCACCATGCAAAAACACGAACGGATTCGTTGCGTGGGTCCCTCAGAATTTGCGCATCAAATGAATCCACTTGGCTTCTGGCCCGCAAAATTGGGTCCGTATCAACGCTTTTTGCAAAGCCGTGGATGTATTTAGCAGGTTGATCTGTAAGCCATGGACTTTAGAACGAAAAGTGATCAAAGGTTTGCTATCTTACGAAAACGACGCCAAAAAGAAATGGTTGCGTAAGTGGTCAATTCGCCGTGGTTTTACCTGAGCATTTGAGAAGATTTTTGCATAGAGATGTGGCTCACGATAACTATTGTCCTCATGGAGATTACCAAGCCAAAAAAAAGTTTCAAAACCTATTCAAATTTGCATTTGTTCTTCTGCGTAAAGTTGCATCCACGTGAAATCACCGATCTTACATGAAAAAGCTTTTAGAAGGAATAGTTGTTTACATTTTATTCGCGATAGTCGGCATTGCGCGGTGAATTTCAAAGCCATTATTAGGCAAGAATAAGTGAGGCATATAGAGTAGGACCAGCGCGAGCCTCTGCGAAGCAGAGGTGACGCACTGGTCCGATATAAATGGAATGCATAGTGGGAGTTTATTAACATGAGCGTTGTTACCATTCGCAGGCTGTCGAGTACGTGGTAAAGAATGGTAGCCATTACTGCAAGCGATTTGGGAAGTCAAATATCGTGACTCGTATCGTTCCTTTTCTCCGGAGCACATCTGCATAGCCGTATCGAACATATTCCTGATTACAGCGCGCTTCACGGATAAAGGATGGGCAGATTTAATATTTAAAAGGATGTTCTTAGAGCTTTCTTTGCGGTACCATTTGAACTCAGTTATGCCGTTGGACAGCCTCACTTGTGCGTTGAGATAAAGCAGCCATCCGTCGCGTGGTGTCTCTCGTGTGAGCTTTATGTACTGCGACTGCTGGTTGAAAATCTCGAAGCACTTGTCCATTTCGGACTGTGTGGAGGTCGCTATACAGCAGTCATCGATATAACGGCAGTACATTAGCAGCATTCGAGCTAGCACCGGTTCCTCGATCTTGCTCATGAAGCAGATAGCAAGTACAGGCGCTAGTCTCTGACCCATTGATAACCCATGTATCTGGGAGTAGTAAGTCCCAAACCATCTAAAGATGTTAAACTTCAAACATTCGTGTATCAGGGTCATTGTTCGCAACTTGCCAAGTCCAAAGGTATTGATGGTATTGCCATGCCTATCCAATATCTCTGATAGCGCTTGCAGGGCTTGTTCATTTTGCACATTAGTGTAAAGCGAAGTCACGTCAAATGACTCGATTACAGTGCTCGAATCAAACTTAGCGCTGCGAAGCTGTTCGATAAATCCGTGTGAGTTGGATAGATGTGCAGGAACCTTGGACAGCAACTGGCTCACAATTTTATTCAAGAACCATGCAATTCTGTCGGTAGGGCCGCCTACACAACTTATAATTGGTCTGATCTTGTAGGTGTCCTCTGACATTGAATTCATGCCTCGCAAAGAAAGCTTGTGCGTTTTGATCAAGCTATAAAACACTGGACAACTTGGACATTTAAGCTTCAATCTGTTGATAAACCTCTCGTCAAGTCCAGCTGATTTTGCTATCGTGGTCCAAGCGTCATTCAACTTTTTACATTGGGTGTAAAATTCTTTCTTAGAGACCATTCTATACGTTGTGGTGTCCGCAAGATGCGCTGCTGTTATTCTACAATCTAACTCCTGAGGCGTTACTACAAACTCGCCGCCTTTATCGCTTACAGACACACGTATTGAACCGTTCGAGACAAGTTCGCGTACCTCTTTGAAAGCTTGCCACTGTTCGTATGACAAGTTGTTCTGATGTTGATGTTTTGCTCTGTTGAGAACTTCCAAAACACCAGAACATAAAAGACGGAACTTTGTGTCTACCTCAAGAACGGGAGACGCTTGTCTGTAGAACGATTGAGGGAAAGCAATTAATGGTAAGCCGTTAGATTCGTAAGACGCCATTGCTGAATCACCTCTATGTTTAGCTCTCAGTCTTAAAGTGTCTCTGACTTTGTGCAGGCTTCCAACAACTTTGCGATAAGTAGCGGCATTGACGTTCTGCGCAGGAGAGAATGAAGGTCCAAGGCTAAAGGGCCGGGCATACTTCACGCGATTTCAGTCGCGACGCGATTTGGCAATGTTCCAAGTGTCCATAACTCATTGTAAGCAAATTTTAAGTGTACTAAAGATGGGGCGTTTTATCAGTCTAGGTAAGTTATACACACTATGCATGCGCAGTTTGCTATTGTTGGATCTGAAGACTTCTGGCAAATTGCTAAATCGCGTCGCGACTGAAATCGCGTGAAGTATGCCCGGCCCTTAAGAAGCTCGATGATGTTAGAAGAAATTTGAGTTTTGCCAATAACAGTGACTCTTGCCGCTTTTGCATTGTAACATGAAAGTTGTTCAGAACGGTCATCGGCTTTGCTACTACTGTCACGTGAGCGTTTCTTTTTACATAGTCCAGCCAAGAGTCGGTCGTACTTTGCGCGGAGCTTGGATTTAGTCTTAGATCGAATCGAATCACAGATTAATTTTGAACCATCCTCAATCCCCCTCCAACGTTCGTAAGGCAAGAGACGTTTACATGCCTGTTCTTTTGTACATCTTAACAAAGTCGTATATCGTTCGTTCGCTTTCGCTAGAGTGGGCGGACCACTGCAGACATGACATGACATGTAATCGGTCGATAAACCTCCATCCTAGAGCATTGTTTTTTGCACTCTCTCGCCATCCAAAGCCGCCGCGCGTGTACGTAGACAGTGCTCCGCCCACTCTAGCGAAAGCGAGCAAACGATACAATGATCTCTGTTTTTCTTTGCTGATAACGTTCAAAATCGATTGGTAGATCTTCACAATCTTCGGATCATTTTCGTCGAGACCACAGGTATGACCTATTTTCTTATCGTGAATGAAGGCAGGCAGTATGTTGGATTTCTTGCAACGTTGGAGGAACAGTAAGGATTGGCGTACGACTACCACCTTTTGTC